ATTCCTAGCATCATAAGGTCCTTCGGATTTGACCCCCCCCCAAAAAAAAAAGAAAGCGACAGTGAGTCATGAGTACCACTAAGTGTGTCCCAAGAAACAACAACCAATTTCATAACAAAATGTTGGGGAAAAATTGCAATGAAATAGTACAAATATTAGGATACCTGGATACGAACAATACTTTTTTTTCTTGTGACACACCCAGTACTAGTTGGGGCTAGTCTTGCAAGAACAAATCTTGTGGGTCCTTGTGGACAATATGTAATATTACCATGCTGACCACTGGGACTCTTTTATGTTTCAGTGATTTTTTTTAACAGTTTTAGTTGGTGGGGTCTGAGAGAGAGCTGATAGGCACTTTTACCTTGCACACGGCTGACCAAGTTAGGTCCAGTCAGTGAGTAGGGGATCCTGAGCACCGCATAAGGGGCCTGAGCACAGAGCCAAGAGTAAGCCCTCAGCACTGCTGGGAATAGCCCCCAAATAAAAAATGGGAGCAATCACAGAAACAGGAAGCTCTGCATTCTAGACAGCACCTCTTTTTCCACACCTTCAATTCCTCTTTATAGTGACTATATTTATATACATGATATATTCTCATCCCTTAGCTGTTTCTCCTATCTGATTGGTTACAATCTAGGAGGACATTAAGTTGGAAAAACCAATCTGGTTGCATATGCAAATGAAGGTGTGGGGTGATGGTGGTACAACCAGATCCCAAACTGTGTCCCAGAAGTTTATTAAATGATGTCGTATATCAATACACAAGTATTGATCAATACACAATACACAGAATGATCAGTCAGCTCCCATATGCAATTTGGGTTCTAAGCTGATCCGTCAAAAGGCTGCCCCCACCCTTTCATCTCCTCTTTCTGGTCCCTTTGTGCTCATTTTGTTTATTTTTTGTTTTGTTTTGATTGGCTTTTGGGCCACACCTGGCAATGCTCATGGGTAACTCCTGGCTCTACACCCAGGAATTACTAGTGGCTGTGCTCAGGGAACCATATGGCATGCCGCAGATCGAACCTGGGTTTGCAGAGTGCCAGGCAAGTGCCCTCCCTGCCGTATTATCGCTTGGCACCCCAAAAGGAGGGTCCCAAAGAACGGATTGGATGCACCCAGGGCAAGATATAAGCTATTCTGGCATTGAAAAGACAGTCCCAGCACCATAAAGCTTATAAAGAGTTGAGATGGTCATGGACAAACTCGATCATAACCCAAAGAGAAGGGACTGGACAAGGACCCTGCTGTGGTTAGGCAGGACTAATCTGGCCTGAGGACTGTAGTCTGCGATATATAGTGAGATGTCCCCAGGAGAGCCACCCTTAAGCTTAATAATTTTCATACAAAAAGACTAGAAAGATTATTAAGAAGTAAATTTAAAACGTTTAAACAAATATGGACTATGGAAATTTATGCCCTTACATAAAATTTCACCTTTGAGCAGATCTCCTAATAAGATGAGATCTTTGTCTTAAAAGAGGCTGCCATGAAAGGAAGGGCTTTTCATATGCTGATTGTGTTATCTTACCTATTGTGTGTTGCTACCCCCAACCATGAGGTGGAACTCCTAACTGACTCTGAAGGGAATGGGGGCAGAGTGAGACTAGCATGGGAGAAAGTAGGAGACTGGAATGAGTGAGGAGTGTGATCTGGGATGGAGATAGAGATTGGAAAAAATTGTGACTGATCACCAACCAGCTTTGTAGCCCTGTTTCCTGCCTATTGCATCCATCGGGAGTGGCCAGCTGAGGTGGGGAGATGACTCCTGACCACCAAACGCACACAGTGAGCACCCACACACTTTGTGAGCACACACGTCCTGGTCCCCCGTGATTGGGTGCTGTACAAGCTCAGATGGGGACTCTTAAACCGAAAACCTAAGCCTGACACCTTCTGGGGTGCCTTTTGCATTCACTGAAGGCACTTGACTTCCCACATATCTGACACAAACGTCTAATACATTTCTGTAATGTTGTTTAACCTCTGTATTCCTGGGTGGACAGTCATAAGTGGTCTGAAATGTGGCCTTAGAAATCTTTTTTTTTTTTCTTAAATGCTGAAACATGAAATAATCTCAGCGGTCAGCATGATAATAGTACACATTGTCCATGAGGACCCAGGTTTGTCTTGCAGGATTAGCCCCTATTACCATTGGGTGAGTCACAAAACAAAGCAATTTATTGTTTGTACCCATATCCCAGTGTTTGTACTGTTAGCCCTTGCAATTTCCCACAGTATTTTGTTATAAATTTTGTTGTTGTTTCTTGGGACATTGGAGGTACTCAGGGGTCACTGTCACTTTATTTTTGGGGGAGGGTTCATACCCGACAGTAATGGAGGAACTTATGGTGCTAGGAATTGAACTCAGGCCTCCTAGCTATAAAACAAATCCTTCAGCCCACTGAGTTCTCTCTATGGCCCTCTTACAAACATTTTAGGCTGAAGAAAATTTAAGAATTATGAAGTGAGGATTTAGGAGACAGTACAGTGGTTAGAGTGTCTGGTAGACACACACCTGACCCCGAATCAGTTAAGCCACTACATGGCTACCTGACATTCCTAAGGTAGCCCCAAAGACCACTGAGCACTGTGGAGGATAGCCTGGAATATCAGCTGCAGTAGTCCCAAAGAGCATTGCTTCCTTGGGTCTTACCTTGAACTGCCCGCCTTCTTGGTAGGAATCCAGGGTCCCCTGAGCACTTCTTTTTTTTTTTTTTTGTAGGAGTACTGCTATTTATTCAGCCACTGATTAGCTGATTGAATTGTGCATGAACTCCACCTTACTTTTTCCCCCCCATTTTTTATAATTTTATTTATTGAATCACCGTGAGAGCAGTTACAAAGCTTTTGGGTCTAAGTCTCAGTCATACAATGAAACACCCGTACCTTCACCAGTGCCCATTCTCCATCACCAAAAATCCCAGTATACCCCCATCCCACACCCTCCCCCTGCCTGTGGGGCAGATGATTTCAGCATTACTCTCTCTCTGGGCTGGAGCGATAGCACAGCGGTAGGGCGTTCGCCTTACAAGCGGCCAACATGGCCGACCCGAGTTCGATTCCTCCGCCCCTCTCGGAGAGCCCGGCAAGCTACCGAGAATATTCGATATGCCAGACACAGTAACAACAAAGTCTCCAATGGAGATGTTACTGGGCCCGCTCGAGCAAATCGACGATCAACGGGAGGGCCTTTACCTTTACCTTTACCTTTACTTTGATCACATTCACTATTTCAACACCAAACCCACCATTATTTGAGATTTTACCCCAACACTCAGATCTGCTGAAAAGGCAACAATAGACAATTTGTGTTCTATTGCTGGTTATGAATAACATATGATGTCGTGTGGCTGCAGTAGGGCCATGTGGTTTTGAAATTCCGAAATTTTACCACTTAAATCTGGAGGGATTTCTGCCAAAAGCCACTGGGTTTAGAGATCTGCTCCTGAGTCTCTGGGATCATGGCCATCGAACAGCTTGATCAGGAGCCAGAGAGGCCGTTCGTGAGCGATGACTTGGGGTCTCGTTGGGGTGGGGAGGACAGGCCTGGCTTCCCCCCCACCCCATCCTGTAAGGCCCAACAAGTTTCGTCACTGCGGGCCCAAGCCTGACTGTCCAATGGCCTCTGGAGGATGACAGCCACCAAGTCGCCAAGAGGGAGCAGGCGGAGGGACAGCACCCATTCCCCCATGGGGTGGCCTGGCGACAGTAACCTACTGCGGGGTCTGGACACATTTCTGCCAAAAGCTGCTGGGTTTCGAGATTTGTTTCTGAGTCCCTGAGCACTTCTGAGGGCCCAAAAACAAGAAAAAGATTAGCTCTGGTGTTGGAGAGTTAGTGGGTAGGGCCTTTGATTTGCATATGGCTAATTGCCAGCATCTCATATGGTCCCCTAAGCAACACCAGGGGTGGTCCTTGCATACAGAAAACAGGAGTACCCATGAGCATTCCCAGGTATGACACACCCCTCACACCTAAGCCTCCTTACAATTATTTTTTAAATTGTTCATTTACATATCAATACCCTCCAACTACATTCTAAATTTAGAATTGGATTTTAACTGACTTATACCCATGAAATCCTGTAACATCATGACCTACTCAAAGTCATTCAAGACTTCTGTACTCTTTAGTCCTAACAGCTCCCTGGCATCTCCTTCACTGGCTCAGTGTTTGTGCTTCTTCCTTTGTGTGAAGATTCACAGACCAGTCACCTGCCCCATCCTTTGATGGGCCAGGCACACCAAAGTGAGCTGAAATGGTGCAGAAAACTGTGTAACCAGGGAGGGGAACACTCCATAGACCCAGACAGTCACCTCACACATGCAAATGCTGGAGATGCTTGTTCTTTTTTTTCTTTTCTAATTAAGAAAGTTTTTTTTAATTTATTTTTTCCCTTTATTTATTTATTTATTTATTTTTTTTTACAGTTGTAGATTTACAATTTTTTGTGCTTGGGTTTCGATTATACAATGATCAGATACCCATCCCTCCACCAGTGCCCATTTTCCACCACCATGGATAATATCCCCCCACCCCCACCCCCCATTCCCCCCTGTCTCTGTGGCAGGGCAATCCCCTGTGTTCTCTCTCTCCTTTTGGGTGTTGTGGTCTGAGATGCTTGTTCTTGCCCTCTGCGTTGTTCTGAGGGACAGAACTGTGCAGGTACCCAAGAGAGGACATGTCAGGGCTTGCATTTGGGAAACGTGCCCAGCGCTGAGCTATCAAGTGAAGCCCTGCAAGCGTGAGAACCGAAATCATCCTCATAAGATTTTAAATGTTATGTATTGACAAAGAGATGCTCCAAACTCATGACTTTATTTTGTTTATGCCAAACTAACAAAACATGTCTGTCCTTTACAAAGAAAAAAAAATAAAGTGAACTGGATTTGAAAGAGGTTAATAAAGACAACTTCAAGGATTTAAAGGAGCATCCTAAGGAGGTGGAGGGTTCTTTCTTCTGGATTTATCAGGATCCCGGCGACCTGTGAAGCTCAGACCTGGACATAGGACAGGGCGACATTCCCGTCGATCTCCAGTATGTCCACCATGGTAACCAACACACGATGTTTGTAGTCAAAGATGTGCTGGCCGTTGGCAAATACTGTGAAGTTACAGGGGCTGGCGCTAATTGACAGCTGCAGGAGAGGGGAAGGTGTGAGGTGAAGTGGGAGACATACTTGGAGGGAAGGGAAAGAGAGCTGGACTCACATCGAAGTACTGTCCTGGAGCAAAGGGATTGTAGGAGATGGACTTCTCCTCAGACTCCCAGGCGCCTTTCTGGAGGCTCTTCCGCACGACGGCCTTCTCATCCATGCGCGGGTTGATGTGCAGGGCTATGTCCCCTGTGGTTCCCACAATGAAGTTGATATAAAATCTGAAAGAAGAGAGGAAAGTGGGAGTCAGCACTTTCAGGTACGGTACTGCTGCCCCAAGAGAGGAGGCATGGAGAATAGGGTTCACATCCCATCTCCACTTGGAGTCTGTACCTGGAGGCTGAGAGGGGGATGAAGCCCATGATTATGATGGTTCTGCAGGTCATCAGTCCCCCCTGAAGTCTCCGCATATATGGCACAGGCTGTGGGGTGAGAACATGCGTCCCATGTCACTAAAGTTAGAAGCAAGGGTCCACTGTGAGAGCAGGGTACCCACTCCTCCTAGGGGCCTCTGTCCACCTCCCACCCTCTCCCACCTCTTGCCCATCCCGCACTGCCCACTCTAGTTCCTCCCCATAGGACACCCCTATGTACAAGTCCCCACCAGCAGTTCATGCTTACCCAAGATCACCCCTCACATAATCTGACCCCCACTGACTGTCTTACCGGGTAGAAGACTGGGGGTGCCTCCATGGTCTGTGCAGTGAAGAAGAGAGAATACAGAACAGTCAGCAAATGTTTGCAGCTCATCACCACATGCAGGTGTTCCTTGGGATGCTGAGTTACAAAACTGGAGAGCTGACCTCATGAACCCCGCTCATTCTAAGACCCTAACTCCGATGCCTATAGAGCCCTCCAATTTACAGGCAGGTTAACTGTCGATCAGAGATCGGCGCCAGGAACCTATATACAGTGAAGACAGCGATAACTAGAGTTCTTGGGATCCGCTGACACTAAGCCCCACTTAAGGGGAAATATATGACCCTCAGCAGGTACTTATGTAGGATGCCATAAAAGCCACAGGTATCTGTGGGAACAAAGACAAAGTAAGACTTAGAGGAGATGAAGGACACCCCCTAAGACAACCCACACATCACCATCCATGGGAACTCTGGAGTCAAGAGGTGGCCCCAGATGCCTCAAAATGGAGGGGTCTCATCCTGACTAAACACCAGTGTTCAATGAGAAACTTCTTAAGTTCTTGCTTGTTTGGGGAGCCACACCTAATGGTTTGGTGGGGATCAACTTCTAACTCTGTGCTCAGGGGGCTGGAGTGATAGTAAGTATAGCGGTAGGGCGTTTGCCTTGCACGCGTCGGATCCAGGTTTAAATTCCCAGCACATCATATGGTCCCTTGAGCACCGCCATAAGTAATTCCTTAGTACAAAGCCAGGAATAACCTCTGTGCATCACCAGTTGTGATGCAATAAAAAAATAAATAAGTGTACGAAATTTAAAAAGCTCTGTGCTCTGGATAGTTCCTCGTATAGCTCCAGAGATCATGGGGATGCTGGAAAGAGAACTGGGATGTGTGCATGTAAAGTACAGGCTTCATATCAAGGGGACCCTGAGTTTGAACCCCAGCTCCTTGTGGTTCCTTGATCACATTCAGGTGTGACACCCAAGTGCTAGGTTTGGAATAGTTCCTGATCTCTGCTGTGTCTGATCATCCTCCAAGAAAAATAGAAAACAAGAAAAGGAATAAGAGCCTTTTTATTCTTGTCCCCACCTAGACTTCCTGCTGTGTCGGGACCCTCCTCAGCCCTTCTCCTCCTCTCAACCTAAAGCCCATACTGAAGTCACTCTCCTCAGGGTAAAGCCCCTGACTCTGATCACCTCATCTGGAATCTCAACTGGCCCCTCCCTCTACAGCTTCCCCAAGGCACCTGGAGCCCTTGAGACCAGACACTGCCTCTGCACCACAACCCCAGTCTCGTGGGTCTGTGCTTCACCCACCAGTCTCCCTCTCTTTCTCTTACTTTCTCCCTCACCTTTCTCTGGCCTCTTCTCTTCAACCTCCATCTCTCTCTCCCTCCCTTTTCATCCTTTCTTCCCTCCCTTTTGTGAGAGGGTTTCTCATGCACTGTTTGGAGTCCCTGGGCCACTCGCAGCAATACTTGACCAAACAGGCTGGACTCTTAAGTCCCTGGGCCCAGTAGTGCTTCTGGCTTCCTCTGGGTGAAGCTGGGGGGCCATCGAGTGCCAAGATTGAGCTAGGGACTCACCATAGAAGGCCTGTTCCTCACTCCTTTGCATCTTCTCCCTGCACTTTGTTCTCTTTTGCCTTCTACTTTATTTTTATGTTTTGGGTTTTGGTAACACCCAGCAGTGCTCTGCTATAGCTCCAGGCTCAGTGCACGAGGATCATTCCAACAGGACAGAGGGGACACTTTGGGCCTGGGGAGCAAACCTTGGTCAACTGCATACACATGACCCCCTGTGTCTCACATTTTAAACCACTCTTAAATCTCTTTAGAAATATTTTATTTGATAACTATCTTTTGATGATTAAGATAATTGTCTTTTGATAATTTCTATTAAGATTATTATTTTGCACTGCTGAGGACCGAGGACCTAGGACCTCACAAGGAAGGTAAGAGTTCTACCACCCAGCAACTTCCCTGGCCCTGATTTCCCTTCCAAACTATATTGATTTTCCATGACAGTGATTGGAAAATTGGTACTTTAAGGGTAAAGTCGATCTCCAGGTCAGTCTCCTGGATTCAGATATTCCCATGGAGCTCAGATTGCACCTGCTACCAGCACCAGGGAAGCTTTGTCTAGCCTCTATGCAGAGTCTCTGTCACTGTTGGCTCAGCTGCATTGTTCAACCAAGGGATCCACACCAGGCAACTCTGCAAATCAACCAATGGGAGGGAAGGCAAGAAGGAAGCTAACCAATGAGAGAGAACACTCACCTCACAGTAGGTGGGACAGCTGCCAAGGAAGTTAACAGATTGAAGGGTCATGTCCCCATTCACTATCAGGTGGGTGACATTCTGGATGGAGATCCGGTGCCCATACTCACAGAAAAGATTTCCATTCACCAACACCTAGAGGGCAAAGGTAATGAAGACCAGAGGTCATGAGTTCCAAGGGACGCTGGGAAAGTACAAACAGAAAGTAGGGATAGAGAGCTATTAAACTCAGCATCAAATCTGGGAGGGAAAGCTGGAGACCCAGAGTCAGGACCTCAGATTCCACGGGTATAAGATCAACTTGAAGTCAGTGACCAGTTCTGTAGGAGATAAGATGCTTTGTCTGAGTGAGGTCCTGAGCATCAAAATAGAAACAGCTCAAAAATAGCAATTATCAAGGATGCAAAACATGGTCTGGGAGCGAAGTTGGGAGAACATTAAGTCTGACTCTGGTTTGGACATTGAGGTCTAATTCTAACACAGACCGCATCACCCTGACTAAGTTCTGTAGATTCCTCTGAAAAAAGGTTGAGGAGAACAAGAGGGGCATAAGGCTGGGGTGGGGCTCAACAGTAGAGTGCATGTCTTGCATATCTGAAACTCTCGGTTGAATCCTATTCTCCACAGTCCACCTAAGTCCCTGCCATTTTAGTGTACCTGCAACTAGGGGCAACCCCAGATGTTATAGCCACAAAGGGGAGGAGGGGAAAATAAATACAGAAAAAGAAAACTGGGACGGCAGGTAAATGCGCAGGCTGGAGCTCAGGCTCGTGTTCACGAGTTTCAGGGGAGAGTTTTTAATCTTCCCCCCAACATAGCACCCGCCCTTCAGCAGTAGCAGGTGTGGCCCATCAGACCAATCAACAAATTCAAGCAGGAAATGAAGTCCGAAACCGAACCTAGAAAAAGGGTCAGCTGAGAGGAGGTGCCTCACTCTCACCTTGTAATGTTGCTGCGTGATCATCACCAGAATCTCAAAGTGCTCCCCGTTTTTGAAGGGCATCCTCCTTAACTCCTCTTCATGACCCCACTTGCCCGACAACCGTGAATTGAAGACGACCTTGTTCAAGTCACCAAAGCGGGGGTTGAAGTGGAAGGCGATGTCGTGGACTACTGGATCTGGTCCCAGGCTAAAGTTCACCACGAAGCTGGGGGATACGAGAGCCTGTTCCTCAAATCCTCCCGACAACGGTGCCAGAAATGGGTCAGGGGCACCAGAGAGCCCAATTAGTTCCACACAATATGGTTCATGTGACAGTGAGGTGGTGACTGGGATCTATGACCAAGAGGTGTGGGACATGGTGGCCCAGAGTCCCAGTATGAAATGAACCTTACTTATTTGCTCACTGACACCCTCAACTTCAACACAAATGGTCCAGGCACACCTGAATACCCAGGGTCCAGTCTCTGTGCCAGCATCTACAGCTCTGGCTGCTCGGCCTTCCTGTTCCCTTCACAATTCCTCAGGAGCATCCCCACCCCCATGAAATCAGAGGGTCCTGGAGCACCCAAGTGAGAGCATGCCACTCCTGGAGCATCACCAAGTTCTCCAGAGGGCATCTCCCCTCACCCTGGGGCCTTTGCATCAGTCCTTTCCGCTCCCTCAAAGCCCTGATGCCAGCAGCCCCCCAGAACCCCATCTTCTCCTTTAGTCCCTGAACAGTTTTGTTTCACCCAGAAAATCTTCCCTTTGCCACCCTTAAAGAGACTATGCAACACCCCTCTTTCTCCTCTCCATCCCCCCACTCTCAATATAGGATTGCATCACCATGCAGCATTGTCTATGCTTCATCTTTTTTCTCCCCTTTCTGAGGGTTTGGTCTCTCCAACAGTTCCTGGCAGCCAGAAACACCACTGCAAATGCTACTCAGTGTCAGTCCCTTCCCAGGCCTAGTATGGGGATCCCTCACCTCAGGATGTTCTGTTTTCTGGCTTAATATAATATAATATATATATGTATATATATATTTGCCCCCACACATACACATAGGGAGTTTTTTTTTTTTCATTAGTGAAATACCATGAGGTACAGTTTTAGACTTACAAATTTTTGTGCTCGGGTTTCAATTATACAATGATCAAATACCCATCCCTCCACCAGTGACCATTTTCCACCACCATGGGTCCCAGTATCTCTCCCACCCCCAATCCCCCTACCCCACCCTGCCTCTGTGGCAGGGCATTCCCTTTTGTTCTCTCTCTCCTTTTGGGTGTTGTGGTTTGCAAAAGAGGCATTGAGTGACAATCATGTTTGGTCTATAGTTTACTTTCAGCATGCTTCTCCCATCCTGGGACAATCCTCCCAACACCCTTTATTTGGTGCTTCCTTCTCTATCTGAGCTCCCTTTTCCTCTAGCATGTGTGGCTGGACTCCAAGCCATGGAGCAAAACTCCAGGTACTAAAGAAACTTTGGAACATCTACAGAATGGAGTACTATGTAGCTGTCAGAAAAGTTGAAGTCTTGAAATTTACATACACGTAGTTCTACATGGAAAGTATCACGTTAGTGAAATGAGTCAGAAAGAGAGGGATAGATATAGAAAGATTGCATTCATCTGGGGAACATAAAGTAACAAAATAGGAGACTAACACCCAAGAGTGGCCGAGATTAGTACCTCTGCAAGTTCTTGAAGGCCACTCCTCGGATGTAGACAGACGTCCCGTCTTTCAGGGCACATGGGATGGGTTCACAGAAGGGCAGCGTCTGCAATTGATCCCGGCAAGGGCCCCAATTCTCATGTGTGCAAAGTAGCATTTCCCTTCCCAGAAATGTGCCCACTCCCATCCCTTTCACAAGAGAGAGGGACCCCAGATTGAGGGTCAACGTGAAGAAGAGGGTTTAGTGTTAGGAATGGAGGTTCAGAGAAGGAGTACATCAAGTCCCTGGGGTAATGGGGGTGGGGCAGGTCCCGGATCTCTGTTTCCTCTGTGCTTCAGGCTGGGAGTGACCTGGAGAGTGGGGGTCAGGGTGAACCCAGGTCAGGACCTGGGTCTCAGTCTCACCGGGTTGTAGGTAGGATGGTAGCCAGCTCCATGCACGGAAGTCATCTTCAGATGCTGAAGTGGTAGTTTGCCTTCTGATCGCTGCAGGTTTGGAAATGTGGCACATGGCCACTGTGGTGACTCTTATACTCTCCTGGGTTTGTTCTTCCCTATTCTCAGAAAGCCCTGCCTCCTGAGCTTCTTTATTTATTTATTTATTTATTTATTTTTGCCTTTTTTTCTAGGTCACTACCGGCAATGCACAGGGGTTACTCCTGGATCTGCATTCAGGAATTACTCCTGGCGGTGCTCAGGGGACCAGATGAGATGCTGGGAATCAAACCTGAGTCGGCAGCGTGCAAGGCAAACGACCTACACGTTGAGCTATCGCTCTAGCTCCCTCCTGAGCTTCTTGGGAAGTTGATTAGTCACTAGCCCGACAGAAGCCCAAAGTCATGAGGATCACAATCCTTTGAGTGGCAACTACTGAGCTGAAAAAAAGAATATTAAAAAAAACACCACCAGCCAGATGGAGAAACACTGGCTTCACGTAGAGAAGACTGAAGACCCTCTCAGTAAAGGAGCGGCTTCAGGAGAATCTAGAAGTGATGATAAGAGTGTGAAAAGAGGGGCTGCAGCCCTAGCATAGTGGGTAAGGTGCTTGCCTTCCATACAAAATTGTTCAGTCCCTGGCTTCCCATATGCTTCTCGAGCACCACCAGGTGTGATTCTTGACCACAGAGCCAGGAGTAAGACCTGACTATTGCTGGGTGTGATGCAACACACCCGCCTCTCCAAAATAAATAAAAATGGGATGTGTTTTGTAAAAAGGGGGAGTCTGGTCCACTGCATTATCTTTTTTTTACTGCACTCTATTGCTTTTGCTCACAATTCACCACTGCAGTCAAGATATTTAAAAACATCCTGTGTAAATACATATTTTTTCAAATCAATAAGGACACAACTGCCCCTGGCTTAAGAGAGAGTGGATACTCATCTGACCCATGAAAAAGTTCTCTGCAGAAAGAAACCTAACCGTGAAGGAGCTGAGACCAAGGCTCCATGATCTCATATGCCACTTACATTGACTGCTCTTACCAGTTTTCTACATGCTTCAGTGTTTAAAAACCTTAATTCTCCATTGATGTTATTCTCCCCCTTTCTCTCCCAAAACATTACTTATCACTTCTGAGCATGGGGCATCTTCCAACAATTCTTGTTGTGTATGTATGTGTCGGGGAGAGAGAGGAGAGAGAGAGAGAGAGGGGGGGGGGAGAGAGAGGGAGGGAGGGAGAGAGAGACGGAGGGAGAGAGAGAAAGAGAGGAAGGAAGAGCACTTTTTTCCATGCCATCTCCTCATAACTGAGAATTGTAATCTAGTTTGTCAAATGTCCTGACTCCTTTTTGGTGAGCAGTGAGTTCTAACCTTCCTTATTCTTTTTTGGACCCTACTTGCTTCACCTTTAACAAAAACTAATCTCTCTCTTTTTTAAAGTGAATTGGGATTAACTCAAATTGAATATTTCAAATCAAACAGCAATGTTATTAGGAAATTTCTCATTCAACCTGTAGCTGTTGAGTTGATTTTGCAAAAACTACCTAGTATTTTTACAATTTGTTGTACCCATGAGGAAAGGAGTCAATTATCCCTGGCTTAGGGGTGGGCAGTGTGGCAGCCCAACGAACACTTCCCACACCATAAAGAAAAAAAAGCCAAGAAACTTGCCTGCCCTGCCCATGAACAGTTCCAGACACTTAGCTGCAGTGCAATCACTAGCTGGGTACAACAGGAAAGGAGAGGAGAGATCATAGGATCACTCGCCTCCTGGAGGACCTTATATAGGCAGGAATTAAACCTGTTAACTGCAGGAAGCCCAGAAGGTCACTCCTGTCCTTTCCAAGAACCTGTCTGTGATTCATTCTCCCTTAACTGAAACTCTAAGGCAGAGTGTGAAGTGAGAGTGAGAGTGAGGGCAACCGAGCTAACACTGCACTTCAGAAGTCAAGTCTCATCTGATATTACATAAAAGCTACCAAAACTAGATCAGAACCAACAAGTCCATTCCACGATTTATTGGACACTGCCTACAAGATATTCAGTGCTAGAGGAAAAGGAATTACAGAATAAAACAGAAAAAACGAAGGGGGGAAATGAAATGAAGGCATGAGATAAACACCACAAATAATTATGGCCGGAATCATTCTCAGCTCCCAAGGACTTGAGCCATCAGTCCCTTTCTGAGACCAGCATCTTCATTATCATTATCATCATCATCATCATCATCATCATCATCAGGAGAAGAAGAAGAAGAAGAAGAAGAAGAAGAAGAAGAAGAAGAAGAAGAAGAAGAAGAAGAAGAAGAAGAAGAAGAAGAAGAAGAAGAGGAGGAGGAGGAGGAGGAGGAGGAGGAGGAGGAGGAGGAGGAGGAGGAGGAAGGAGAGGAAGAAGAAGAGAAAGGAGAAGAAGAAGAAGATGAAGAAATTGTTCAGTTAACACCCAGATAATTATCTCCTAAAGGGTGCTTTGACCACATCTACTTTAACACACATCAAACCATGTAAATTGATTAATTCCAAGTCACTCAGAGACTTCAATGCCCATCAGCTCAGAGCACTTTCCAGAATCTCATTAATTCAGCTCAGTACTCGTGTTTCTTTTGTTCATAGAACAGTGATATGCCCCAGTCCTTGATGCACAGACAATAGATCTAATCATGCAGGGGACTGAGTGACCCAGGAAGGGAGACACCCCATGGCTGCAGAGAGTCCTCTCACACATGCAAATCCTGGAGATGGTTGTTTCCCTTTTTGCCTTCCTTTTTGTTGCTGTGAAGGGCAGAGGTCAGGCAGGAAACTAGGAGAGCACAGAGCATTGGGGGACTGGAGGGGATTGAATCTGAGAACCCATGTCCTGACCCTGAGCTACCAATGGGTCCTAGCAGTGTGGAATTTGCTTCTTCTCTGAAATCTTCCGTGGAAGTTGCACAAAATAGGTCATGGATTTGAAAAAAAAAGGCACCACCTTCCTACATGTATTCATACTTTTGATTAGTGATTTAAGTGCACATCCTTGGGGATCCCCCTCAGTAGGTTTTGCAGGCATAGCTTAGGCCTGCACGTAGGACAGGCTGACATCCCTGATGATTTGCAACAAATCTACAACAGTGAAGGCCAACCTGCGATGCTTGTAGTCAAAGATGTGTTGGCCACTGGTAAAACATCTGGAAACTATGGGTGCCAACGCAGATGGACAGCTGCAAGAGAGGGGCAGGAGTAGAAAGGGGGAAGACGCAGAACTTGGATAGTGAGGAGGAGGAGAACAGGACTCAAAGCAAAGGACTGTCCTGGACCAAAGGGTTGTAGGAGATGTTCCTCTCCTCGACCCCCCAAATACCCCTCGGTAGGGTTTTCCGCACCACAGCACATTGTCCACGCAAGGGGTGATGTGCAGGGCTATGTCTCAGGTGCTTCCCATGATGAAGTTGATGGAAAATTAGGAGACAAAGAGTAAGCACGGGGTTAGCTCTGAGGAAGTTTAGCAAATGCTCTCGAGGGAGGAATGGACAACAACTGGACTCCAGGCATGAAGGCAACATGTCCCCACTTTCACCTGGGTCTGTACCTGTAGGCTGAGTTGGGGATGAAGACCCAAATCATGAAGGTTATGTTTGGTGTCAGTCCCTACTGGCTCACCACATACAGCAAAGGTTGTGGAATGAGAACATGGGGTCCCTACCTCTCTCAATCACAGGAAACCAGGTGCCAAGGTTTATTGTCAAAGCAGGTTACTCACTCCTCCTAGAGACTTCCCAATTTCCACCCAGTCCCACTTCTTCCCAATCCCCTTGTGAGGCAGTAGTGAAGCTGAAAGGACCACAGCAACTCTATTTTGGAAAGCCAGACTCCATTGTTGTGTTTTGGGGTCATGAGTTTACAACCTACTTAGAAAAAGATGCCAGACCACAAAAGGCAGGGACACAGACACTGACCACAGATAACAAGGATATTTCAAATAAATGTAACAAGTTATGTTAACCACAATTTCCCTTCTGTACCCTCCTGATTGTTTGCTCAAGACAATGAGAATGCACCCAGCATGTAGGTTGGAGGGCATACGGCTTAAAAATTTCCCCCTAGGATCACTCGGGATGGGAGACATGTGCTGAAAGTAGACTAAGAACCAAACATGATGGGTTCTCAGCATCTGTATTGCAAACTATGATGCACCAAAGCAGAGACAGAGTAAGAAGAAAGATGCCTTCTACAGAGGCAGGAAATAGGATGGTGTGTGGGTGGCAGGAGGGATGCTGGGGACCCTGGCGGTGGAAAATGCACACTGGTGGAGGAATGGGTGTTTGATCATTGTATGACTGAAACTCAATCTTGAAAGCTTTGTAACTGTTTTTCACGGTAATTCAATTTAAAAAAAATTTTAATAAATATTAAAAAATACATCTCCCTGAGGGCAATCGAGGATCCAAATCTTCTCTTGGATTTGTGAATCCACAGCACTGTGCCTTGTATGAGAGAGAATAAACTGCTTCTGTGTGCTCTCTCTCTCTCTCTCTCTCTCTCTCTCTCTCTCTCTCTGTCTCTCTTGCTCACTCGCTCACCTTCTGCCTGTACCACCTTTCCCCTGTTTCCCACCTTCCTTGGTGTTCTTTCTTTCCTTCTCTTTGCATATTCTCTTTTTTCCTTCTTTTTTTGGGGGTGGCTGGGAGGGTTAGGAGAGCAGTTGCAGTGATGTATTCAAGCATTTCCTAGTCAATTCTCAGGAAATTAACTAATGGGAGGAAAGGAAGGATGAGAGCTAGCCCGTGACAGAGGCCACTCACCTTCCTAGTGGTAGGACAGTCACCAAAAAAGTTGATAAATCGAAGCTTCAGGACCTCATCCACATGCAGATGTGTGTCATTCTGGAGAGGGTTATGGTCCTAAATTCATAGAAAGGACTCCCACTCACCACCACCTGGAGGACAAGCACAAGGCCATGAAGATCACAGAGACCTCGGGAAGGTCAAGACAGAAAGCAGGGAACAGGGACATTTTCCATGCAGGATCATACTGGGAGGTGACTGCAGCCCCAGGAGTC